AAAAGAAAAAGAAAAAGAAAAAAAAAGAGATGAGTCTCACTATGTTACCCAGGCTGGTCAAATGATCTTCCTGTCTCAGCCTCCCAAAGTGCTGGGATTACAGGCGTGAGTCACTGCACCCAGCTAGAAGAGAATCTTTAAACAAACATATACACATATATACATTCACACACATTTACAGAGGGCCACCAATTGGTTAGTTACAGCAAATATTCTCTTTCTCATCAATGTCTTTTTAAAAAGAGGGAGTCTATTTTACTTTTTATTTTCATAATGAAATATTATAAAAGCCTCATAACTATGATTTCATACCTGATAATATTTCAGCTGCCCATTTAGTTCTCCTAGATGTTTATCATACTCAGTTATAAGAGGAGCTAAAAAGCTAAAAAAAAAAAGACAATAAAAATATAGCATATTCTGTTCCATCTAGTTTAATAAATCTATAACAAGTGAAATAAATTACACATAAAAATTTTATGTTTAGTCTACTCATGCAATCAAAACTTTTCCCTTTTTTCCAAAACCAGGAGTTTTAAATATTTGCACAATTAATATTTTGGACTGAAAAATTCTTTGTTGTGGAGTGGTTAGTCTGTGCATTGAAGGATGTTTAACAGCATCCTTGGCCTCTACCCATTAGATGGCAGCAGCAGTCTCACTTTCCACAGTAGTGACAAGCAAAAATGTTTCTAGACATTGCCAAATATCTCCTGGTGAAACAGGGGTAAAATCATTCCGTCTGAGAACTAATTTTGTAGACCCTGTAATACTTGCTTTTTCTTGTCAATTCAAGAACAAAGCATTTAAGTTTAATAACAGCAGATCATGAAACGAACATTCCTGATACTAAAAGAATTACTTTAATAACAATTAAATATAACTAAGAAAATGATATTATTCTGGTTAATACCTTACCTTTGGTCAAACACGAGGTTTTCAAATGTGTCATCTCCTTCTCCTTGGCAGACAGCTTTCTATAAGAGAATGTGCATCTTAAAATGTGTTCTCACATCATTCTAGCCAAAATTGATAGTGATTTAATATTAAATGCAATTAAATTTTCATAACCTTAGAAAATCTATTTATGTCATTCATAATGAGAGAAAAAGAAAAAAAAAATAATCTCAATTTATATTGAAAAGCATTTGGTAAATTTAATACCCGTGCATAATAAAAACCATTGGCAAATTAGAAATTTGAGGAACTTTTCTTAATTTGATAAAAATATCTGCCAGAAATCTAATCAATTACAATTTAAAGGTTGAAAAGCAAGAAGCAAGGCTATTATTATCTACAAACAATTTGGCCATTTACCTAAAAACTCAGTAAAATCTACCGATTATTAGAACTAGTAAGAGAATACACTAAAAGTCACCAGATAGAAAATGAACACTTAAAAAAAAAATTACTAGCTTTTTCAAATACCAGCAATGATTAGAAAATGTAATATAAAAAATCCTATTCACTACTATGACAAACAATATCTGCAGAATAAAGCAAACAAAAAATGGTACAGGAGCTTATTGAGAAAATTAGTTTTACTAAAGGATATAAAAGGAAATCTAAACAAACATGGTACTATAGCATTCATCTATGGGTGCAACGGTCAATATTTTGAGTATGTCAGCTCTCTAAAATTGACTACAACTTCATTGCACTCAAAAATGAAGTTCCAATAGAATAATTTATAAAAGTTCCATGAAAGAGTAAGTGTGAAAAATTAGCCAAGATAATCTCACCAAAAAAAAAGGAAAAGAAAAAAGAAAGAGAAGAACTTGGCTTACTACATAGCAAAACACCACAATGCTACAGCAATTTTAACAGTATGCTATAGGTACAGTAACAAACTCAACAGTATAACAAACCCAGAAATAGATTCAAGCATTTATAGGTATGTGGTATATAAAATAAGAGGAATTATAATCGAATGGACACAGTACTGCTATCCAACAAATAGTACTGGATAACAAACAAAATTAGATTCTAGCACA